TCCGGGAATTACGAGCTGTCCAAGTAAAATGGCGGCTGCCTGTAAGGTTGCGGCGGTTAAATATGTATGTATGTTAAACAATCTCAGCCTTTGCTTGCCGAGTCGGCCACACTGTGCATTTACGCTTCGTGGCAGGAAGCGGGCACACCGATGAATAACACTTTGGAAAAATTCGTTATGCACAGGAGTTATCGACCGAGCACCAATGGCTAAGTTATTCGCGAACAGTGTAGTTTTGCATTTGTTAAATTACTGTTGGAACCTGGATTTCTATATGCAATTCGGGTTCTAACAACAAGGGTAGGTCGGGAAAATACAAGTCGGCAATTTATATACAAAAATTGGCATTTCACAAATTTTTTAGGTGTTTATATAATGTTAGTTTTTGATGGGGTGAAGATGACCATTGGTCCTTAGGAATAAGTCAGTTGTTTTTGGATTCTGAAATTGGTCTGCGTTTATTAGCTAGGCCCTTTTAGTGACTAAGGCACAACAAACCGTTAATTATTCAACATTATAAATTCAAATTCAGAGATTCCACGATATCAACTATTTCGTTATCAAAAGAAATCTTCGAGATTTTCGAGATTTTCTCAAAAATTTGAAAGTAGCTTAATCCATAGGGAATTTGATTCTCCTACTATTCCGAAAATCTGATCGCCAACAGATTCGTTTCAAAAACAATAAATTTTGAAACGCCATTGGTATTTCGAAAAAGGACCATAAACGAATTGACACCGGTGGCTGCAAACGTGTTAATTTCGAAATTAAATGAATTCGAAACTAACAAGCGTCGAGACGAATATTAATCAGGAATTAGCAAATCCCGAAATTAATATTAATTCGAAACTACCATCGACTCGAAAATTAATATTAATTTGAAATTAACAAATTTCGAAATCGACATGAAAATCTCACGATTTCGAATACTATATTTCCAAGCTCCTATTCCAGTTAATTTCTCGTTAAATTTCTCCGACCTACTGGAAACAACGCGACCAATACTACCAATACCATCGCCAACTCGACGCCATTAACAGAGGCAAGATGGCAGCGAGCGGAAGTCGAACTGCTTATCCCGCGAATCCGTTGTTTGACTTCGTCGAAACCGAAGTTGCAAAATGGCTACTCGGTTTGCCGGCGATGAATCGAACCGTGTGCAAAGCGACGACGAACGCCGGAGGATCGTTTCATGAGGATCCGGTTGCAAACGCTCTCCTCGCTTGCCATACACGGTTGTGAGAGATAAGGCCAGGTAGAAAAACAAGTGGCCGGGTTGCAGGAAACGCGATCGACGAAGCAGCGATATTTCTTCGAACCAGGCTGCAGAGTTTCGCGTTTGATACGCGAAATGGCCGCGGACAAGATGCTGAACGCGCGAAAACGCAACGAGACACGAGGTCAGCGGCTTTTGTAAATCGAATCTCTTTGCTCAGCAACGCGGCTACTCGAGAATCTTCTGCCACGGATAATCTGAACAGGTGACACTTCCTGTCTGCCGTATAATTCACTCGAAAGACAACACAGCGCGGATCAAGATGGCGGCCCCCGAGTACAGAAACGAAACGTTGGTGGCGCCACTGTCGCGGTATACCTAGTACCGTTTGCAGTTCGCAACTGTAGGCGAAAGATTGGGGATGCAGGGACGCATTATGTAAAATACAGAAGAACTGGGTAATGTTGAAATTTTTAATGGAAGAAGTAATTGAGACGAGGGGATAATTTGTCACGAAATGGTGAAATGGTAGAGTCCTAGGATCATACATATCTAGCAATCTAGGACCCCTATGTCTTAGAGGAATTTGTAGCGACCATCATTCTTATTCTCGTCACTAGATGGATTCCGACTTCGAGGACTTTCTCACAAATTTTTGGAAATCCTCTAATTCTTATATATATAATTTCTCGACTTTCTAATAGCGTTCCCATGCATTCACTTAGTAGTAAGACTGCACACCCATTCGTCACGCTATCACTCTTAATACTATTTCCTCTGGTAGCGTCCTGCACTGCTCGCAATACCACATATATAACTTCCAGACCCTGTTAGTATCTAAGGCAGGGCCTGATAGGGTAGCCTTACTGATGAGTCCACTAACAGGCCCAGGACGAAACGCATCCCTTCCTTTTCCTTTCCTTCCTTCTAGCACCACCGCTACATCCAGGATACCTGTGACCAGCCGACATTCAACAACCATGGGGGAGGACCCCTTACAACTGTGTACCCTTCAAAAATCCTGGTCCAAAGATCACCTATCTTACCTAACCTAACCTAACCTAGCTTAGCCTAACCGTGGTCTCGATATCGAAGTGGCCAGCAATATTTTGTGGAGAGAGGAGCACGTGAGCCAGGCGAGTAGCAAAGACCTCCATAAGTTGATTAATTTTAATAAGATCTATCGAACGCCTATTAGATCCTATTGTAAGCAAAGAACCTACTGGGAACTCGCATCGTAGGCAACTGATCGACTCTCCACGGCTTTATCTCCTTCTAAATATCTCCAACTACTCTTTCGGAAGTCGAAACAGTCGTACTTTTAGGCTCGACTGGTTTTACGAGGCTCAACCAACCATACGAGTCAGGCAATTGTTCATAACGCAATAGGTTCAGCTCTTTCAACAGACAGGTCACAGGAAATTTCTTGACTGACTGGAAGTGTCACGTCCAAGAATAGAACTGTACAGCACGGATCACAGGCAACCTTCAGTCACGATTTCATAAAATTTGGTAGATCGGTATTAATTGATATATCAAATTTAATGCACTGTAACAGCGTGCGAGGTATCGAAATCAAATAATTCCACGGTAATTATTACACAAATGTTTATTTACTACTCAAAAAAGTATCGCCAATCTTTTAGTAGAGAATCTATGAATATTCTTCTTTCGGCAAAAATTCGCCGAGCGCAAAGAGTTAAACGTGCCCACCTAACTCGGAAAATGTCACCGTGAGCCTAAAAATGCTATCAAAAGACCTCTAACTCCGAAATCTCTACCTATAACGTGACATGTCACCCGTTTTCTGACACAACCATAGAGATAGATCCCATTTTCATTAGCAAACACTGTCGAATTTACGAACAGTATATCACATCCCATCTGACGATGAAGGAAGCAATACGCGGTCAGGTTGGCAAGTTCGCAGGAACTATCAGGAGCGTCAGCATAATTTATCCTGCAGCTCTGTCAGAATATCGCATACAAACGTTGCAAAGGTGTAGTCGTGGTATCAATCTCGAACTGTCCTGGACCAGCAACTTATCAGACCCGAATAGCTGGTGTCGTCTTCGGGACCGTTTGCTATCGATTTAGGTATCGCTGTCTGTGTGTTCCCTGGCAGCTCTCGCGTGGCAAGGGAGCGTTGGAGCAGGTACGAACCGATGAGAAAAGTTGAGTAAGAACTGATTAGTTCTGTCAGGGAGTTGATTGTTCTTGGTGGCGTTGCGAAACGGTTTTATGGGATCGGTCATGCAACGAGACGGTTCGCAGTAAACGGAGAAAAGGACCGACGGTCGGGGCAATAAAGACTATCTCTGTTCCATCTTCAATCTCTGTTAAGTAATTGCTCTTTTAGACAGGCTGCATTATCGGTAGCTTCGGTTTTGAATTGTTACGCAATCCACGTAACGTTGATCCTCGCCGGGGCAGGTTGTGTTTATCGTAATTGGGCATGTTGCACCGCGGGTACAATGCACCTGCGATTAATTTCTTCTTATTGCCACTTGATTATGTCTTTACGTGCAACGAAACGGGGGAAAAAGGCGATTGCAATTTCACGGGTCTTAATGAGGTATACGGTTAATTAAGGATACATCTATCACCTGCGAAGCATGATGGTGCAACAGGGTACAAAAAGGTTGATCTTGCAACGTCCGACTTTTTCCCCTATTATTTTCTGCTTCGAACGGAATGTAAACTATGAATCATCCTAATTACGCGCTTAAATCACAGGTTTTACGGTTTAGCAGAATTTCCAAGTGAACCAGACGCTTACACGTGTTACTACCTGCCGTTTATCTAATTTGACGATATTACAGGAAATCGGTAAAAAGAGGATCGCTTCCTTTCTCGGAAAGTTAATTACGGATAATGTATATATAACGCACCGATTGTTATTATTCCGCAATTAGCGCGTTTTTCGACCCGGTACTTTACACCGACAGGCACACCCATGATTGCTAGCATCGCGACAGTAAAATATCGTGCAATTCCAATCACACGATAACAATTTTACGATTTTCTAATGACACGCAGGAGCAGCGTGTTCCGGGCAATTATCGTTTATCGATAGGAATATTTATTTCTTCCTATATAATCGACTCGTTATTACCCAATAAGCCCCGAATTTCCAAAATTAAAATCGATCACGGGATAATTTCATGCACAATTTATTTATTCCCAATAATAATCGCGCAATGTCCCAATATTTTGCTACAAGTATGCAAAATATTTTTTATTACAGTAAAAAATTAAATACTAAAATAAACTCTGCATCCCGTTCCCTGTGTTTTGTCTTTTGACAGCGCGTGCCTTTCGTCCTCCATTTTCTGGAGACGTCTTTGACCTGTGTGGCCCTAAACAGACAGGTCAGTTCTAACCATTGGCCTATTTAATAAACATCTATATAGTTTTTCCACCGTTTGTACCGGCTACTATTCCTTTGCATTATAACTCTTTAATATTTCTGTCACCGTACCTAGGTGTATCTAGTGAATTAACCCGACATCGTCGACATTTATCACTAGAACTATCCGTAGACTGATTTTTGAAATTTTCATTCGACACTATCGTCCTAGTCACTAGTCTTCCTAATTTTTCTTTCAATGTACGTGTCATTAATCCGTCAGTGTCTCCCGTTATACCATTTTTCTTTCAAGATCCTGCCAATTTCCTATTCACCGGTTATTTGACCGCGGCCGGTGCAGCGTATAAACTGTCACGTAAATTGCATGTAAACGACGGGAACGCGAGCGTTCAAAGGGCCAAAGGCACGACTTACCTCCGTTGTGCTTCAAGTCGTCCGGCTGACCCCGATGAAGGTCCGGTTTGGTCAACATCGAAAGAGGATGAGCAGCGGTGCCTCCAGCGGTGGCCGCCGCACCCGGTGGAATACCTAATCCGAGAAGGGCCGCGGAGGCTGACGTAGGAACAGGAAGTCCTCCTCCAGGTCCGAGGCCGGGGAGGCCAGGTATACCTGGATGTGGACCCATCGAAGCACCTGGTGGTAGCTGCTGGGCGTGCATCTGCTGGATCAGCCTCGGCAGGTCTGGCCTTTGTTGCTGTAACGGATGGAGGAGGATGACTTTTATCACTTTGAAGAGCAGCTTTTATGGTGCTTCTCGCGGTTAAACCATGATACTTGCAGCGGATTTTGAAATATCGCGAAGAAGGTGCAGTTTAGCTGTATTCTTTACGGACCTAGGGTACTGTCAGTGTTAGTCAGCGTCAAAAAGAGTATTAGATCAGTTGTACGTCAGTACTATGAATTGGTCAACGTTTAGACAGTGTTAGCTCTGGAATTGTAACAGGGAAAGCTCATCTTTTATATCCAAATATTCCATTATTCATCATTTAATAATTAGAGACTCTTTGTGAGTGTCTTTACACCTTTTGTACCTTCCTAACCTTCTGTAACTCTATAGGGATGAAAATAAAATTGTGGGTTGGGGATGAAGGTTCAGTTTAGCTGTATTCTTTACGAATCTAGGGTACTGTCAGTGTTTCTCAGTGTTAAAAAGGGTGTTACATCAATTGTACGTCAGTACTGTGAGTTGGTCAGCGTTTAGAGAGTGCTAGCTCTGGAACTGTAACAGGGAAAGCTCATCTTTTACATCCAAATATTCCATTATTCTTTATTTAATAATTAGAGACTCTTTGTGAGTGCCTTTCACACCTTTTGTACCTTCCTAACCTTCTGTAACTCTATAGGGATGAAAATAAAATTGTGGGTTGGGGATGAAGGTTCAGTTTAGCTGTATTCTTTACGAATCTAGGGTACTGTCAGTGTTTCTCAGTGTTAAAAAGGGTGTTACATCAATTGTACGTCAGTACTGTGAGTTGGTCAGCGTTTAGACAGTGTTAGCTCTGGAATTGTAACAGGGAAAGCTCATCTTTTATATCCAAATATTCCATTATTCTTTATTTAATAATTAGCAACTCTTTGTGAGTGTCTTTACACCTTCTGTACCTTCCTAACCTTCTGTAACTCTATAGGGATGAAAATAAAATTGTGAGATTGGGGATTGTGTGTAGTCGTTGAAGATAATCGCGATAATTTTATCCAAACATGACAAAGATGGCGTTTAATAACGAATGTATTTTGACAGGGGGTAGCTCTTGTTCTAGTCAGTCACAATTATAGCTGATGCAAAACAGATATATCAGGTATAATTATTTTTGTAAGCATATATCGTGACAAGAAGAGTCCTCCTTTATTAAAATTCAAACACAACCGGATGAAAACGGAAGGTATTTAAATTTGGAATTTTAATAAGTGTTACAATTATTATTAATTATATATTATATATAATTGTGCCGTTCACTGCACAAATCGATTAACTACACTTTTTGAAAAATCTTGAATATTTAAAGTTATGATTATACCAAGTGCTTAAATTTAAGATTTTTCAAAAAAGGGGAGTAAATAGATTTGTGCAGTGAACGGCTCAATTATATAACGATTACACCATCCTTTCGGTTCCCATTTTTGGAGGGTTATAGCTTTATAGCAACAATTACTTCTGGAACCTTTTCAACCCTCGATTTTTATGGTCGGCATGTGATTACCGACAATTGACAAGTGTACCAAGATTTCCAGATAACATCCAATTACCGCTCCACAAATCTAATCTTAACAAGCGATAACAAGTCGTTTAGATAAGTGGTGAGATTAGATTGGACAGCCGATGACATCATTGGACAATAATGAAACACGCCTCCGTTAACCACTCTTATCACGAATAATCGTCAGGCAAACGCAACTCGCAATTTGCTCGATAACCAGAGAAACACGACCAGGAAGGAACAAAGGGGTTCAAAACACCTGAGTAATCACGAGGATTAAAAATTGGCAATTACTAGTTGCAAGTAGGCTAGTACTCTTGACACTAACTAGCAACTGCACGTTAGGTTAGTAAATACTTATCACTGCGTTATACCATCGCAGAGAAACGTATTTAGGAGATTGATAAATAAATATGATATACAAAGATGAAGATTGATATATAAAAATGATATATAAAAATAAAAATATGTTCCTCTAATTAATTTCCTGAAGAAAATTCCTGCCCACTCTATAAAGAATTGGGATAAATCCAACAAAACCGGAAGAAAGAAAATATAAATAAATAAAATGGGATAATTCTTTGAGGCACCTGATTTTAAAGAAAATAAAAGCTCAGAATGTACGGAATTTATTTTAATATGGAAAAATGGGAAGATGCGTTCATTGCAATTATTTATTATAAAATATTGCTCAACTTTTCGGGCTTAATTAAAATATATCCCACCATGCATAAAAAGCAAAGAAAATGGTGGACTAGTGTTTAATCCACCTAACCTGCAAGGGTTAAAAGAGCAGAAAAATAATTAATCTATAAAAGAAAATCTTTCGATCTTCTCTTTATAAATATAGGAAAATCGATAAAATCCTCTCGAATTGTAATAAAAACAGAAAAAAGAAAAATAAAATTAAATGGGTTAATAAAGTAAAGAAAATAATTAATAAATAAAAGAAAACCGTTCTCTTTATATCCACCCCATAAAATATCGGCACAAACCCCCTGCGACCCCCCAAAAAAGAGGGAGGTAAACAAAATAAAACGTATTATTAATGGAGCAGAAAAATAATTAATTACTGTACGGAAAAAAAATCCGAAAAAACCCTAACAAAGAAAGAAAGAGGGGGGAGAAAAGGTACAAAGAGGGGAGAAAGACAAAAATAAATAAAACAGGTCAGAAAAGCAGAGAAATAATTAATCCATAAAAGAAAATAATTCGATACCTTGTTATCGACTCATCCCCCCAAAAATCAGCACAAACCTTCTCCAACCCCCAAGAAAGGAACAGATAGATGAAATAAAACGTATTATTAAACGAGCAGAGAAATAATTAATTACTCTATCGGAAAAAAATCCGAAAAAACCCTAACAAGGAGAGAAAGAGAGGGGAGAAAAAGAAATAAATAAAACAGGTGAGAAAAGCAGAAAAATAATTATTCCATAAAAGAAAATCATTCGATACCTTCCCATCCCCCCAAAAATCGGTCCAAACCCCTTGCAACCCCCAAAAAGAGAGAGATAAACAAAACAAAACGTATTATTAAACGAGCAGAAAAATAATTTAGATTTCCAACAGATTAATTAATTTATTGAAAAGAAAAATCAAAAAACCTTAATAAAGAAAGAAAGAGAGGGGAGAAAAGAACCTAAATAAAATAAGTGATCAAATCAGAAAAATAAAAGAAAACCATTCGATACCTTCCTATCCACCCATCCCCCCGAAAAATCGGCGCAAACCCCCCCGCAAAAAGGCGCGGCTGTAAAATCGGGAGAAAGAGTAGAAAGTAGTAAAAGGGGTTTAAGGAAGCAGAAAAAAGCGTGCAGTCATCGATCGTAATTTAATTTTCTCCGCTTATTCCGAGCAGGAGCCGGCGCCGTTCGGCATTCGTTACGCGGGACACAACTTTCCACGGGCAGAGCATACAAATCACGGTGGCAAACTTGCACGGGTCGCGTTTAAATAACCCTCGCCCCCACCTCCGACGCCCCTTCCCCCACCTACCCGCGCGGCAGCCGTGGTAAATCCGAAAGTACGAAACAAGTGGCGGGACTTACCATTCCCCCTCCCCCCCGGCCCGCGGAGGAAGAAAAGCGCGGAGGACCCGCGCGGAGAGGAAGAGGAGAAAAGTTCCGGACGAAACCATAAACGTATACTCCCTCGCGCCGGTAGTTTCCTCGTTAGTTGGCCCGAGCCGGCGCGGGTGGTGTCGGTCGAGTTTCAGCTGGCAGACAAATTGCGCACAGCCGCGCCGCGCCGAGGCAGCGAGGAGCGTTTTAACGCTCGGTGGATCACGCTGTTAGAGGAGGGTGGGCAGGCAAGCCGAGGCGAGGCACGGAAGGAAACGTCGAAGAACCGGAAGAAGACGGAGGCGAGGAGAACGGACGACGCCGAAAGAAAGGAGAGAGAGACCGAGGGGGGCAGAGGCGAAAGGGGGTAGCTGAGCGGAAAGTGCACCACCCTCTCTGCAAACCGTGTACACTCGTTAAGGCCGGGCCGAATATTCCCGGGGAGTAGTTTGCCGAGATAATTAAATGGTTTAACGATATAATAACCTCGCGTCGAGCGACTGTCTGAGCCACCCACAAAACACGCAAACAGAGGGAACGAAATGGGAATGAGAGGTTGGAAAGATAGAGAGAGAGAGAAAGAGAGAGAGAGGGAAGTAGTTGGTAGAATTGGGAGGGGTGGAAGGCGTCGGAGTAAACGTTCCCGGTGGATCCGGCAGTCTAGGGTCTGAGTCTACGGACCCCTAAGAAACGTCTCCGGCTTCCCGTCACCGGTAACGATAATAATCCTGACCTCGGGCTGTCGTGCCAGTATTCGCGGCATCGCTGGCGTCTTGGTCCATTCGCGTTGAGAAGATCATTTCCGTATTTGTGGCGGGATTCCGCTAATGATTACGACGAACTTTACTCCGACCAGCTCTACGTACCACCGTCCGAACCCCCATTCGTGGCTATGGCTCGTTTCTAACTTCCTATCCAACTCGCTCGCTTCCACGTGTATGTAGCGGGTGTACTATAAATACTCGTCGACACCCGATCAATCCGTGTAGGAATTATTTTCTTAATTATAGCTCGTTCTTAAAAATGTTTTCTGTTGGACAGTTCTAATCTCCCGCTCCATGTTGCTAGACAGCGACTAGTAGCGACATCTGGCAGTTTTTTCGCTATTCAAATTACTGGGAATTTCGGGAAGGAAATCTAAACGATTAGCGTACAGGGAAGTAACCGTATCCAATTGCACAGCAATTATAAATACTTATAATGTTTAATGTAAGTGAAATGTATACACTTTATGCGAATATGTAAAGAAAACGAGAGTCTTTATCACGTCACTGTGGGAGTGACTGTGAGAGTGACTTTATCTGCACTGTTCCGGAGTTTGAGAGTGAGAGCAGCGAGAGACAGCAGGCACTTTTAACACTAGAACTACCGATCTTTAGTGGGCACCTAACTCTAACGTGCACAGATTATAGTAATTAACAACGGTACGATGA